CCGTCGGCCGCGCCCCGGGCCTGCCGACCTCGGCTCCCACGACCAGCCCGACGGCCGCCCCCACGGGCGCGCCGACCTCGGCTCCCACGACCAGCCCGACGGCCGCCCCCACGGGCGCGCCGACCTCGGCTCCCACGACCAGCCCGACGGCCGCCCCCACGGGCGCGCCGACCTCGGCTCCCACGACCAGCCCGACGGCCGCCCCCACGACCAGCCCGACGCCCGCGCCGTCGGTCTCTCCGACGCCCGCGGTGTGGGTTCAGCGCGGCGACGACATCGACGGCGAGGCCGCGGGTGACCAGTCGGGCATATCGGTGTCGCTCAGCGCGGACGGCACGGCGCTGGCCATCGGGGCGTACCTGAACGACGGCGCCGGCTCCTGGGCGGGCCACGCGCGCGTGTTCGCGTGGGACCCCGACGACGAGACCTGGAAGCAGCGCGGCGACGACATCGACGGCGAGGCCGCGAGTGACTTCTCGGGCATCTCGGTGTCGCTGAGCGCGGACGGCACGGCGCTGGCCGTCGGGGCGTCCGGGAACGACGGCGCCGGCTCCAACGCGGGCCACGCGCGCGTGTTCGCGTGGGACCCCGTCGACGAGACGTGGAAGCAGCGCGGCGACGACATCGACGGCGAGGCCGCGGGCGACTACTCGGGCAGGTCGGTATCGCTGAGCGCGGACGGCACGATGCTGGCCGTCGGGGCGTCCGGGAACGACGGCGCCGGCTCGAACGCGGGCCACGCGCGCGTGTTCGCGTGGAACTCCGACGACGAGACGTGGGTTCAGCGCGGCGACGACATCGACGGCGAGGCCGCAGACGACGACTCGGGCAGGTCGGTATCGCTGAGCGCGGACGGCGCGGCGCTGGCCGTCGGGGCGCCCAGGAACGACGGCGGCGGCAACAGCGCGGGCCACGCGCGCGTGTTCGCGTGGGACCCCGACGACGAGACCTGGAAGCAGCGCGGCGGCGACATCGACGGCAAGGCCGCGGGCGACGAGTCGGGCAGGTCGGTATCGCTGAGCGCGGACGGCGCGACGCTGGCCGTCGGGGCGTACGAGAACGACGGCGCCGGCTCCATGCATCTGAGGCATGGATTGATGGGGCATGGAATGCATGGGATGATGGTACATGGGCAGTGGAGTCAAAGGCATGGCTTGATGGGCATGCATTGGAGCTCCACTGAAGAATTGATTGGAATTTGAGATGATGCTCGGATTAGCGTACGGAGGCATATACGAAGGAGGCACAGGCGAGTCAGAAGTCACAGCAGGAGTCGGAGAAGTTCGTGTAGCAGGTGCCGGGGCTTGCGAATCATCCATAAGAGCATTCATCCCATCCATGCCATCATCGTCATTCTCGAACTCTTTATCCAGCTCCGAAGCAAGACCCGAAGCAAGTCGATCCAAGTCCACATCTGACCTCTTAATTTGATCCGGCATCGTAGCGTTGATACTCTCGACCAGTTCACTGCTCGGTGTGCAATCCTTGTAGTACTTGGTGACCTTAGGCGGATGGGTGAGAAGAAGTGCAAGACGTGCGTGGTCTGCGCTGCTCTTCATGGCTCCGGTACGATAAGTCCCTGCATTGGAATCCATGGCTGAAATCGCTTTGAGTCTTGACGTCACGTGCCCAAGAAGAAGCATGATGAAATGATCTGGTACCCCACGTTCAGTGAGGTACGAGTCCATTCCGTAACGGGCGCTTCCAAGGCTGTAAACCCCAGATTCCGGAATCATTTTCCCAAATCGCTCTCTCGTCGGTGGTGGAATAGTTGGGTCAGTCCTCATGGCCTTGAGAAGCGAAGGAATAAAATTAATCATATTTCGTCCAACCGGCTGGCCCCACCAAACCTTCGAAGCCCTGGTAACATCTGCCCGCGGCTTTAGTATCAACCGGACATCATTCGGCGGCAGCTTGTCGTTTACTCGAAACTGTCCAGGAGGCTCGCTTGAGGGAGATCCAGGAGGCCTGCCACTGAGCAAAGTCTCAAACCGTTCAACTATACCAGCATTCGTACCACCGTCTCATGTCGAGCTGCCAGCTCACGCAGGCGCCGCCCACGGCGCGGACGTGCGCGCTGATCTTCGCGTCCGCGGCCTCCGTCATGAGCTCGTCCATCACCGCGAGGACCTTGATGGAAGTGTCGCGCGTCGGCGGGACGTAGCCCGGCCGCAGCGACGCCGCGAAGCGCCGCGTCCCCGGCGTCTTCGCCCGGTGGAACGGGACCGCGTCCGTGTAGCACATGGAGACCCAGTCGACGTGGTAGTTGAACGCGTCCTCGAACTTGAGGCGCGTGATCAGGGAGCCGTCGGCCGACACGATGGTCTTGCCGCCGGCCTTGGTCTCGCCGGAGCGGAGCATCATCTTGTACTGCTCCGGGTGGCACCTCTCGATGTGGCCGCTGAGCCGCCCCGTCGACGTGCCGCGCTCGTCGATGAGCATCCGCCCGCACGGCGGGTCCCCGGCCGTGAAGTTGTCGAGGCAGGTCCACTTGTTGACGGCGAGGAGCGACTTGCCGTTGTTCTCCGTGACGTACTTGACCAGCTGCGGCGCCGTGAAGCACACGCGGAAGCCGGACGCCTTGCGCGACGCGGCGAGCGCCTTCTTCTGCCGGACCCCTTGGTCAGAGG